GAAATGCTGACAACATAACACAAACTTTTTAATTTTATAAAAAAAATTCCAAACGCATTGTTACTTACGTAAAGGTCATTTGCTTCAGCTTAAAGAAAGCCTTTTTATTGATGGTGTGAGGTTGTGTCTGTTTATGATATTGTTTCCTGAAATCATTTTACACCACATTACATAAATTATCCAGAGTGCAGGCCTTGTTGTGGCTTCTCACAGCTTCCTATCAGAATAATGGGGTCATTTATCAAATTCAAGATAAAGTCCTGTTATCCTTTCCTGTCCTGATTAGTCTTCAGAGTCCTCAGGCAGCATGGATAAGGATTTATGAGTATTTCTTGACGTGGGAATCAGTGGCACAAACCTAAGTAATACAAGAGGAAAAGGATGAAGAAAAGTATCTGTGTTGTGTTTGGACTCGGGCAGATGATTGATGAATTTTTGGGGGTAGACATGACATAGACACGGTCTTACTGATATATTTCTGCAAATATGTCTATATGTATATCAAAGTTTGAGTATACATTTGCCATTTCTTGAAAAAATGGGAAAAGATTAAATATATGCTAAACTTGTTTTTAGCATTCATCCAGAAATGTACAAAATTCTTGGGACAAGATTTATTTTATTTTACACATTTTTATTTTTGTTATAAAATTGTTATTTCTGGACACTTTTGGACAAATCAGCACAAATATTTATGTGCTGATTAAAGATGAAATCACAGAAGTCAAGAAGAGAAAAAAGTATATTCAAATGTGTGATTTCCTCAGTATACACTAAACTAAAGATGAAATCACAGAAGTCAAGAAGAAAAAAAGTATATTAAAATGTGTGATTTCCTCAGTACACACTAAACGTTTGGCAAAGTAAAACTTTTCCGACTTCAAAACAGAAGTGTTCAAAATGTTCTGATCACATTATTTTCATGGTAACACTGACTTCCATACCTTTGTGCTTTTAAACTGAAGGCCAAAGACCTGCCGCCATCGTGTCTCCTGTTGCTGGCACCACGAGGGATGTAGTCGAGACGGCACTGGACATCGGTGGCTTCCCCGTCCTGTTGAGTGACACAGCGGGTCTCCGGAACAGTCCAGACGCCATAGAAAGAGAGGGAGTTCGACGAGCTCGAGAGAGGTAACAGGAGCTGGAATGCAAAGATGTGCATAAGTCTATCAATCCTTGCTTGGTCTTATTTTTTCCCACTCCACGCACTTAAAGTGTCAGAGACTTACACTACATCTCAATCCAGAAAAGCTGAATATTCCTAAGCCATGCTCTGATATTTTTTTAATTGAAATAACAAACCTTTTCCCTGTCGTCAGCCATTTTTCTAGGGGTCGAGAAGACTGAACCTCACCCTAAGAAAAACTATATATTATGTTTAATTAATATTACTGAAAGAAAATTTATATCAGTAAGTTTACATGAGTTAATATTATTTCTGTCACATATAGAGTCGCAGTGGCCTGGCTGCTCCAACCCTGCGTCCGTCTAACACTAATCTAACACATGTATATCATTAAACATAACAGATTTGCCTGATGATCAATGGAATATGTCATTGGAAACAAAGAGAGGAAGAAATGAGTTGTACATTATTGTACATCGTGCTGCATTTTCGTGTAGGCTGCGTAACGTAATTGCTATGCGATGGTTATAAATACACAAACCCACTCAGGAGGTTACATAATGTAAGGCCACCATTTTCTTTTATTTTTTTTTTTTTTACCATTAAGTGTTTCTTTGTTGGTGAGACTGGACACACGGCAGTATTTACCAACAGCTGCTTCCACTGTTTACACCAGGGTGAAACAGCAGAGGCAGCAGCTCACGTCACGTCACGTCCGTTTCATACAGACTGACAGACTCGCCGGCTCGAGCACTCAGACACAGAAAGCTGTATATAGTACTTAACCAACTGTACTTTAGGAGAGTCACCAACAGAGGATCACAGGGTGAATATGAATATGAATTTACTGGTGAGAATCACCAGGTTTTAAATTAGCTTTATGTTTTAGTCTTGTGGTTAGCAAGGTCTCTCTGGGTCGGTTTGTGGGTTCTCTTTGTGGACTATGTCTTATATATATACAGCATATATTTCTCCTAAGTGTTCAGTGACAAATGTGAATGTTAAAATGGTTTGTGTCGTGACTCAGGTAGAAGGATAAAACTTAAAAAATATATAGATTTTTTTTTTTTTTAACGTAGGTCAGATAATGTTTATCAGGGAATTTTAAGCGGTCGCTTTCTCTGTTTGTCTTAGTTAAGTGTATAGGAAGGGTGGGCAACATGTGTTGTATAGAGAACTTTCTGTGCAGGGAGCAGGTCAGAGGCTCATGACCTGGGTCACTACAGGAAGGACGTGGTAAGTACAAGCATCCGCTGCTGCTGCTGCTGCTGCTGCTGCTGCTGCTGCTGCTGCAACTCACAGAGACACATTTTTCAAACATGCATTGTGATCATATGACATCAGGCTCAAATCATTTTTTGTTTTGTTTTTTGGATGCAATAGTCCTGCATCATCGCAATCCAATCCACAAAGTATGAATCACATTTTGTCCTTTATTTTATGCATATAGAAAATAGACTGTTCTTCAATAAACTGTCTGTTGTTCCTCTAGTTATCGAAGTAAAAACTACTCGGTTGTAGTAATACCTCCTGTGAGTGATTGTTTTTTTCTCATACATGAACCTGGATGAAGAGTCAATTGATTTACATGTTTTTGTAGTTTTTTGTTGGTTTGTAATTTTACAAAATGAATTAAAAGACAGGTTTATATATTGAATTCTTGCTAATCTAATGTGAATATGTGTTTGTTGTCCTGTTTGTAGACTGGATCAGGCAGATCTGACCCTTGTGGTTGTGGACTGTGTGGAACTCCCTAGAGATCCTCGACAGGCTGCAGCCCACCTGAAGGAACACCTCAACAGTGTGCTGCCCACCAGAGAGCAGCGTCAGGCAGGTATGATAACCAGTCCACTAAGACTTTTTAATTTCATTAAAAATGTTTTATTGTTTTATGACCTGAGAGTCAGATACTGTTGAACTGAATTCAGAAATAAATCTCCAGTCATGATCGATTGGACAGAGACACTGTCTCTACTGTAGACTACTGTCCAGGCCCTGCACCAGTACTGGGCCGTGGATTATTTTATACCAGGCCACATGGAAAAAATAAAGTTGTTTTAAAATCTTTTTTATCATTATTTTTCAATAGTTTCTGGGGTGAAATATGTGTCAAAAGCATTTATTTTACACTGGTTTATGTCTATGAACTCTCTCTGTCCTCAGACCGATGCCTCGTTGTGCTGAATAAAACAGACCTACTACCTGAAGGTGAGAGACAGCAGCTGGACAGAGAGGTGAGACAGGTCTCTGGACTCCCTCCTGTCTGTCTGATCTCCTGTCACACCACTGAAGGGTTACAGCTGTTCCTCACACAGCTGCAGAGCAACCTTAAAACTCTGTAAGTACAAACATTTTAGAACATTCACATGTGCAGATAATAAAAAGAAAAAATTCTCAAACTCCAAACCTCCAAAGTAAAACAACAGATAATGAGCGTTGAATTGTTTGATTTCCTCTTTAGGTGTGGAAATCCCCAGTCCGACGCCCCCACCCTGACCCAGGCCCGACACACGGCCTCCCCGCCACAATGCACC